ATGTTTTGATTGTTGCGAGGTGCCTACATGATGTGGCGGCGTTTATACTAGAATGTTGTTAAAAGTTAACTAATTCTCGAGTAATGATATGGTAATTGGGGGCTTGAGTGGTCTCATAAGTGGGTGCAGAGGAGAGATACCTCATTCAGGCATTTTATGAACTGCCACCACGTCATGTAGGCTCTTCGCAACAATCGAAACATTCGTCCCCCTGAAGATCCAAGCCAATCTGGTCATTTTGAATGTTTTCACAAGGGTGATGAGTGACTGAGGGTAGAAACATGGTAGCAGGATAGGCTGATATCAAAAGTGGCGACAAGGAGTCAGACTGCAATAAGTACACAATAAAATTAAACTAGAATACTTTATAGTAGACGTAATTTTCAGTTTGCATCATCAACCTGCAAAATTCCTGTAAACCTGCAAAATTCCAACCTGCAAAATCCCCAACCTGCAAAATTCCAACCTGCAAAATTTCCAACCTGCAAAATTCCAACCTGCAACCTGCAACCTGCGTTTTGTACCTGCCGCTGATGAGAAACTAATATGCAACAAATAATAGCCTAATCAATCGTATATTGAAACACAAGTTTAATCCTTTCAAAATATCTTACACACAACTTTAGTTTTCCAGGTTCGTACACCATTCTATAAAAATCCAAGACTTTCAAGATCTTTTTTCCATCCTTTTCGGAGCCATGTCCCAAAGCTGGTCATGTCAGCTTTTGGACAAGGAAACACTTGACAAGTGTACAAGAAATATTTCTTTGGCAAACAAAAGGCGGTGAGATGTTTAGCAACACTCCGTGCACGCGAGCAACAAAACTTGTCAAGTCAAATTTGTTGACCGCACACACGAGAAAGTAAACTTGTCAAGGTAACTTGTCAAGGAAAACGTGCTCGTCTGTACAGGACGTAAACATTTTCAGGAGAGTTACAGCAAATTATTGCAAACAACCTTCATTGTTATCTTTTTAACGTACAAGAAAATAAAGAAACATTTCAAACCCCAAGTTTAAAATTCGGCAGAACAAATTATTTTTACCATCTTAAGCAGAAAGACACTCTTTCTCAATGCTCCACAACAGCCACATATGCCAACACATGCAATAACAAGACCAATTACAATTAGAACAATAGAAACAGCATCATAGTTGTTAGGTCGAGGTAAGTCTTCGTATTTATTCATTTGTGCGGTTGCCCATATACCAATGACAAACAAACAAAAGCCAGTTATCTATATTAAGAAAATCAATAAATGTTCTATAAAACTAGCTTCTATCCAGCTGCAGAAATAATCAAAACTACACAAATTGTAATTTCATTTATTTCCAACAGGGATATTAAGCCCAGTTTCCACTTATACTGTTATATACCGGGTGTCCTACCTCCTCCGCAGGCCCTTTTCCGGGCGGTGCAAATTTGCGACCTGCCCGAAATGCTCCCTAAGCGCCTGCGGAGGAGGTAGCCGGGTGTCCCAAAAAAAGAACCCTGCATGCATGGATACTGTTTGATTTCATGTAACGTAAAAGCTATAAAAGCTATCGCAATGAAATAAAGATCATTGCATTCAGAAAGGACTAACTCAGATTTTGATATATGAATTTACATGCAATATTGATTGCGCTATTGTAGTATTGATGTTTGAATGTTGACCTACTGTTTTTGGAAAAGCCCGAAATTAGCATAAAACAACCATAAATATTTTTATTTTGGTTGTATCTCGCTCAATATTGCATGTAAATTCAAGTGTTATACCTATCAAAATCTAAGTTAGTCCTTTCTGAATGCAATGATCTTTATTTCATTGCGCCGGATAGCTTTTATAGCATTTACGTTACATGAAATTAAACAGTGTCCAGGGTAGATTGAATAATACAGCTATAACAGACGAAAACAACTAATTTACTAATGGTATTGGTGCACTTGAACCATAGTCATAGAAATAATACATATTGTTATAGAAATAATACATATTTTTTCTGCTGTTTTGTATGTCGAATTTTGGTCGCGTCGAATGCAATTAAGACAATAGATAATGAGATGATAAACCTCATTAGACATTAAGCTTAATTATCTATTGTTTAAATTGCATTCGACGCGAATAGCCAACAGGCAAGTTGAGAAAAAGTGTAAACATAAGAACTTAGAAAGGCATTGGGTTCGTCGTGGCAGGAATAGTATTTGGTGGGATAATATATATAATCTCAGGAGTTTCAGTTCAAGACGAATGTTTATGCCAACATTTCCGGGAAAAGTTTTTAAGTTGCCCTTATCATTCCAAAAGTGCCTCTCGAAACCGGTGTCCCCCCAACTTTTTCATGTGACGCTTCCTACACCCCTGGTTTTGGGTCCAATTATGCCCTACCATCAGAGCCATATCTAGAGATTATTTGCCAGTCTGATAGAAAAGAATAGAAGCTTTATTTATACAGGAATCACAATCAGTAAACAGGGGCGCCGGAGCCACGGGGGCAGCTGCCCCCGTTGCCTAAACAGTGCGGGGGCAGCACGGGGGCAGCAGGTTGCCTTTTTACCAGAACTGCACTTCGAACGTCATGCGTTTTTCACATGAATTGAAATTGAAAACTGTTTTTAAACAATTTAGCTCATACTTGAATCACCTAATATGAAAAAAAGGAAAAAAGGAAACCTTCCTAAATAACTGATAACTGTCATGTTGCTTTACAATACATTTTAGTCTTTAGTGTCATGCAACAAATAAAAATTTTCCAATCTATGCCGAAATTTGTCTAACTGTATTAGGTACAAGTAATGAAGTATCTGTTATACAGCAAAATGTTAACGAGCATTGCCCCCCCCCCCGCACAAAAATTAAGGCTCAAGAGTAAGTGCCCTTTTTACATGGCTGCCCCCGCCGCTCCATGTTGCTTCCGGCGCCCCTGTGACAGTAAAATACTTTTCTCCCAAGTGAACCTTTCAGTGAGTGCCAATACTCAATAGTCTGCCTTAAAGGCCTGATTCCACGAGTGCTTTTTGTCAGCGAAATATTTCGCCTGTTTCTTTTGAATTGCGACCACTCGAATAAATTATTTCTACTTGATTGCTCACAATTCCTAAGAAACAGGCGAAATATTTCGCATTTCACTGACAAAAAGCGCTCGTGGAATCAGGGCTTAAGGCCGGATTCCACGGGCGCTTTTTCTTGGCGAAATGCGAAATATTTCGCCTGTTTCTTTTGAATTGTGAGCAATCAAGTAGAAATAATTTATTCGAGTAGTTGCAATTCAAAAGAAACAGGCGAAATAATTCGCATTTCGCCGAGAAAAAGCGCCCGCGGAGTCAGGCCTTTAGGGGTTCAGTGCACACAACACACCCAAGAAATTATTAATATTTAGTGTCTACAATATATCATATTCTGCATTAATTTCTGTACTGATTGTATGACATTCTGCACACCCAAACCAGTTTAATTAACTAACCAGTTTATTTATGTTTCAAACATCTGGATAAGTCCCTGCCTGCCAATGGTTACACCAAATGAATGCTTTGAGTCAAAGCTTGATAACACCATAGTCATGACATATATATGTGTCATTATATAGTCTGCGCGCAGGCTACTGTATTCACGGAATCATTTATAATGTAAATCAGTATTAATAATATTAAATAATAATAATGGATTACTAGTTACAGTAAATTTAATAATGTAAAAATTATCTGGCTTTAGACAGTCTGCAGACTAGTAAAATTACTATAAAGGCTTCAATCTGACAGTACAGAAAACAATATGTTGTTCTGGCAGGATTTTGAAGTATAGAAAGGAATACAGTAATGAAGGTACTAGTTCAAATACAACTTGAGACAATACATTTTTGTTTGAGCAGTGTAAACCAGATTCAAAATGACACGTAATGGCCATGGCGGATGGTTAACAATTTATGTGGTGAAAATTTATGCGCTTCATTTGTATATGTTTTGCTATTAGATCATTACCAGTTTTCATTTATTTGGTTTGTTATGAACTACCGTCTGTCCGCTTATAGAAATTCGTTATAATTATTCACAAAATGCAGACGACATGGACGTGATTCCGTCGACCGAGAGCGCAAATAATACAAATGAGCATTGTCTTACCCAGAATAAGATGGTGAAAATGATCAAAAAGACACGGACGACTTGCATAGCCGGTGACACGGTGATTTGCGAAGCAGTGGCCATCTTACACAATTTCTATACAGGTTTTATTTACACAGATGAACACAGAACACACAAATGTCTGATGAACGCAATTCAACGCAGTCGAACGTCTTGAACAACGGATGCGGAAGTGTGTCGTTCTTCATTTAGTGCTCGCCGCAAAATGCGGATAGAGGAACACGGATATGAGCAAACGAACATGCGGACAAACAGGATAAAATAAATCGCACAGATATGGACAAAAAGGATAATAATAGATAGCAAATAAAAACTAACAAAAGATGGTTGCAGATTTTTTGGTAGATTTTAAGTCTTATTCGATGAATATTCGATGATTGATTATTGAAAGGAAAACATTCACTTTAAAATTAAATTTAGTGTTATTTTAGTCAACTAGAAATAACACCCAATTTTAGTCATGCCAAAATAATTTAGTCCACTAAAACTAAACTAGAACTAAATTCAAAGCACATATGCAATATACAGGGTGTATAAAAAAAAACTTAACAGATTTGAAATTGCTCTCAATTTCGCAAAACACCTATTTGTAGCTGTTTTTTATATATATAACTTCTTTGGGTACTTATAATGTAAAATAATGAAAAAAATTTCTCGAACTCAAATTTTGTGAACCAGGGGGGGGGGGGG